AAAAAATAAAAATAAATAAATAAATAAATAAAACCCTCAAATCAGGATATCAGTGTCTCAAAAATCAGTTTTCTTTTAAGGAACAGATGCTTACAAAATTCAGCAGCTCAAAACCTAGGGCTTCAATTCAAATTCAAGCAAGTATAGGAAACACAAATTAATATCTAGATTATAGTCAGACGGCCTATAAGATCACAAAAATCGCATTTTGTGCACTATACATTTACCAATACAACTAATGCAACCAAATTCTTTAGAAAATTAACTCGATCGAAAGCAACTAGTAGGTAGGTAATTACTTCTTAGCTATTAATAACAAAGAAGAGGAGGTGGGGTGATTAACTGAAGCGAAGCCGAGAAGGAGAGAGAGATTACCTTACTGGAGATTTTGGGTTAGGCGGCTCTTCACCAGAGTGTTGAGAATCTGAAGCGCAACTGAGAACCCTAGAAGGAACTGTTGTGCAAGAAGACAAGGAAGATGGTAGTCGACCTAACTTCTCATGGTGAGGGAGAATGAGAGCAGTATGTCTGAGATTCTAATCCCACCTTCTTCCTTACTACTACTCCCTCTGTTTAGAATTTGTCCAACGAGTTTCCACCAAAAAATTATGGTAAAAGGTAAGGTCTTTGAAAGTCCCAAAATGCCCTTGCACAGTACGACATTGAAAGGGGTTAAAGTCTTTTCACATAAAAACCCAAGGGCTGATACTGTAGCTAAACAATGGACATGGGGTTAGGGAAAGGAAAGGGATGATGGTTGCTGGTTGGGTTTTTTCAGGCAATTCGAATGGGGAGAAGGGTTCTAAGATCTAATAAGAGAAAGAAAAAGAGGGGAATTTGGGTTTGAGAATTTTTTTTTTTTTTTGAACAGATTTTACAAAGGGTTGGGTTCGAACCCAGTCCTGGGGAGGGAGAAATGCACCATGAGTAGCTATTGCCATTTGACCTGAAGGACTTGGTGCGGGTTTGAGAATTTTGAGCACCCGGCGTTGCAGAATTTGTATTTTTATGGATTGGTTATGCTGCTTTAGTAGTACATCTAACCCTTAGGTAAGGAAATTTCAGTTGCTTTCTTGTTTATTATGGTTTGATAGCAATTTCATACAGTCATACTTTTAATTGTTGGTCTCTTATATGCATGTGTTATTTGCTTGGATCATAACTTTATATGCTATATTTGATGTTGTACATTGGTAACCTCATGAAGCTAATTAAACACAATTGTTGTTATATTATGTTCCATATAATTGTATAAATCTGTCCTTATAAAACTATCTTCTATGAAATAAGCTGCTTGTTTGAAAGTGTGTAATTCTATTAAGCAATACTTCTATAGATGTTTACTATCACTCTCCTTCAAATTGTATTAAGGGTTAAGCAATTAAAGAACAGATGAAACACATCTTCATGACTGTTGTCACAAAGGATGCATTTCTCATCAGTAGCAATTCTTCCAGCTGCCAGCATAACTTTTGTCTTCAATCTTCGGCCTTTGAAGTATACGTTTTGCCCATATAAGAGAATTCCAAGCTATCTTCTTTCCTTTGTTCCTTGACAGGTTATAACATTGGGATATAGAAAACTTACTAGCACTGATTTAGTAATTCCCCACTCTATCCTCCTCTTACCTTCTATCATCAAGCAATCTTCTTTTCAATTAGACAATACTAAAGTTATAATATTATATAAAATTATAAATTTACAATAAT